TAGAAAAATATTCATTTTGACCAAGGCGAAGCGGAGGTCAATATGGATATTTTTTTTGTGAATAACAAACCATATTCAACACCAAAACAGTCCATAATTGTTTTATTATATAGTCTGAATTTGAATAAATAAGACACTGAGGGCTGAAAGACAACACCACTTTCATTTACGAACTTCCGTCATTGAAAAAAAATAATACCCAAATTGCACATGCAGTTTGTCACCTCTGTGTTTTCCTCTCCAAATTTCACTTTGTAAGACGTCCAAATGTTTAAGAATAACCCTGCAATTGGTTTGTATAATATTTGTCCTGCTCGAATACTTAGCTCACCGTGGCCGTTGCAACCATTGTTTACAATGCTGTTTGAGGTATCGATTGTGATGTCACAATGCCTCTGCATGCGCAATGACCCTTGGTGAATACGGCCTCAAATTCAGTGAATATGCAGTGTTATGAACTGTTTGCGCTTGTATAGATTATATAGGGAATATGAATAGACTATATAATAAAAATCATTATTCTCCACAGCCTTTACCACCAGAGGAAAACACAAAACTGATTTTCCAAGATCACACCCAAGGAACAAATATCCCTAAAAGCTACATCCCAGCTATTGAAAAGGTAAGTCATTTTAGTCAACACAAAAGATACGATTGTAATAGTCTTAGTAGCAGTGGCATGTATTCACACGTTAGTCATTTTCTGTTTTAGGGTTTCAGGAAGTGTTATGAAAAGGGACCAATAGCTGAACAGAGAGTATCAGGAGTTCTTATCAAGTTAAAAGATGGTAATTAAGAGAAATACTAGGGAACCTGCAAGACTCTGGCCTTGATAGCCATGCATCCACATTACTATGTAAAGTGGGGCTTAATTATTCTAGACACCTTTGTAACAAAAGAAATTACCTAGATAAATGAATTGTCCAGATAACTGATTCCTTTCTAGGAAAAATAACCCACTCAATACATGTAGACACTGTACAGCAGGAAATTTACTAGATGTTATTATCCAATATATTTGCAGAAAATTAAATGTAGCGAAATTATCATACAATGAATTATTCTTAAAAATTGTTAAGAAGTATGTAAATTGTCAGTATTAGAAATAAAATGTTCATATGTTTGATGAATTAGACTGAATAATGTAAAAAATCATTTAAAGAATATTCTCTGGAAAGTTCATTGTCCAGATTAATGGCACACAGATAAATGAGACTTTACTAGTTGATTTTGTTTATATGAGATGGGCTTTAACACCCAGGATTAGTTGTGTGGTGTTTGTTTTAACACCGTCAGCTGTGTTAGAGTTGACTGCTTGTGTAAACCCTGGGTTTAAGAAATTGTTCTGATTCTTATTGATTGATGTTGTAATTGTTATTGAATGGTGTTTTCAGAGTGTTAATGTTTTACAGGTGATGCTCATTCTGTAGACAGTAGTGACTGGGCATTTGAACAAGCTGCCTTCCAAGCAGGCCTTGACAGTAAGTCTACATTGACAGAATGCTCTCTTTACTAGGGACTGATAGGTGTACAAAACGGCTTAACATTGATTTTACTGTCCCAAGGACATGGTAGGAGGGAGAATATTAAGTAAATATCTGTTGTGCAAACTTTCAAAAATAGTGTTTATCAATGTTGATATGTCTGTAAGAGTTACTTCCCTTTTTTGCAGCCTACACTTACTCCTGGGCAATGTTGGAGCCCGTTATGACAGTAGAAGTTAACGCCCCCTTGGAATATCAAGGTGCTGTGTTAGCAGGACTGACCAAGAGGAATGCTATTTTTCTAGGAACAGATTCTAATGAGGGGTACTTCTCTTCATATTGCGAGGTAACACTATAGTTGGATTTGCAAGAATTGATTTTCATATAAAATTAATGAAGTATTAAAAAATATATGAAAAATACCTGTGTTCTTTATTCATCTAAGGCAATTTTTAAGATTTTCTTGTTCTGTAGTAAATAACTAAAGGATGTGTATTACAATACATAATGAATTTCAAAATACATGTACAGTGTATATAGACCACTATTGTGTTTGTGTTGACTTTGTATATTACTTAAAACTAATAGGTGCCACTTAACTTGATGTTTGGATATTCCACTGAATTAAGAACTCTAACACAAGGACAGGGAGAATTTACAATGGAGTACAGTAAATATTGTCCAGCAGCCGAAGACACTGTACGGAAACTGACAGAAAGCATGGAACAGGAGTCCGCCAAGAAAGGATCGCAGGAGAAAAAACAGAAGAGGAATTGACGACAGTTCTCTTAGTGTTAAAATATTTTTAATTTATAAAATAATTTAATCTTATAGAGAGATTTATTGACACTGATGTGAAAAATTGACATTTATCTTGTACATGTTCTCTTATGAAATTGATGTTGTTATATGTATGTTGAATGTGATATGTCTTGCAAAATGGTAAATAAAATGATACAGCAATTTCTTTGTTTCTCTGCAAACATCTAGGAATTTAAAATGACGGAAAAAAAACAACACATTTAAAAAATAGGATTTTTAGGATATTAAAAGTTCATTTTTATTAAGGCCCCTGGATCTTCTCTCCATATTTTATGCATTGGCGGATCCAGAGGGGGGAGGGTTCCAGGGGTTGGAACCCCCCTTTATTTTTTGCCTAGTGGAGAGAGAGAGGGGGGGTAATACGTTTTCTGAGATTATATATTTGTACGTCTTACTTATATATTGAATAGATAGGTTCTCACACATTTAGTTTCCTCCAGTCACCTTCTCTATTATACTTTTTAAAAGAGAATGGTAGAAAATATTCTACTTGTTCTTATATATCTTGTATATTATACCCTGGTATGTAATATGCGATGTTTCATTTGATATTGGATTCTCGTCATCTTTGGCTGTGTTGACTATGTTTGTACCGTTTTTATCAAATCTAGATCTAGATCTTTTGAAGGAACTAACATATCATATAACTCTTTATTTTAAAGCCCACCCGCATCCCACCCCCAAAAAAGTTATTCAAATTCTTAAAGAAAATTCTTTATACTCTTCGGAAATAATACAAATCCATTCAATTTTAAGGCTTCCGTAGTTATGAAATGTGTAGGTTTTTTTTGTGTGTGTGTTGTTTTGTTCGGACTGGGGGTAAACTTTTTTTTATATAAAGGACGTAAAATAAAGATAGTATTTACGATAACCTTAGATTTTTCAATACAAATCTGTGAATCTTTGCTTGAGAGTATGTATGGGGGGGGGGGGGGGGGGGGGGTAAGTGCTTGATCCGCCCGTTATGTATGCTTGTTTTGTACGCAACTATCTTTAAAATTGCGTAGAGATGAAACATTTAGTACCAAATCAACTAGCCTTGTTTCAACTTACTTACAAGGAAATCAAAATGTACAATTGGAAAAATATCTTTTGATTCTACGTACTAGTATTTCAAAGGAAAGTAATGTATCCAAAGAGTATAAATTTTCATTTAACAGTTTCATAAAGTTTTCACTTTTCAAGTACACCAGATTCCTGCCAATTGTCAATCAAACGCTCCCATTTCTTTGTAGTTCACCTAGACTGAAAGCTCATGTGATTCTGATTACAATCTGTCTGTAGTCCGTCTGTCTGTCCATCTAGCTGTCTTTTCATCTGGAAACTTAACATGTCCAAATTCTTCTCGAGAACCACTGGGCAAACAACCAAACTAGCCACAAAGCATCCTTGGGTAAAGGGGATTCAAGTTTGTTCAAATGAAGGGCTGGCCACATCCTCTTTCAAGGGGAGATAATTTAGAAATGGTGAAAATTTGTAGGCATGGTTTTAAAATCTTCTCAAGAACCACTGGGTCCGGAAAGATGAAACTAATGTGGAAGCATGCATCCTCAGGCAATGTAAATTCAATTTTATTTAAATCATGACTCAGGGGTAGGTTAGGGTCAAAATGAAATTTCAAACTTAGAGGGAAAAAAGCCACTGTAATTAAAGTCAAAGAGATATGTAAGCATTCTTCATTAGTGTAGATTCAAGTAAATTCAAATCATACCAGCCCCCCCCCCCCCCCTTTTAGAAGTAGGTCGGGACCACTTTTGCAAAGAAGCTTTTCAATACTGGATTGATTTTTGATTTTTTCCTAGCCACAGTGCTCAGGTGAGCGATGTGGCCCATGGACCTCTTGTTTAATCATGATTGAGAGGTTATTCACATATGGTTTAGAATCGTGATATAACAGATAGTTCACTTGAAAAGAAGAATTATGAAAAGGCATTTAATTTTACGAGAATACAAACATACGAAAAAACCTTTCGAAGGTTTCTATGGTCAGATCAACTTGTTCATAATAAAAATGACAATGGTTTGTGTTACGTGTAGTTTTACTCGGAATAAGTTGTAGTTTCAGAGTCAAGCACTATTTTGATTTCAAAATTTTGAAAGTGACAAATAATAGAATAGTTACATGTAGCAACAGCATACAATGATACATAGGCAAGCAAACAGATCCACTTTTCGAAGTTGTTGCACATTAAATGACTATTACAGTATAATATAACTATTAATGTGCATTCTACGAATCCTTTACAGGTTGTAAGGACCCTTGGACCTCTTGTTTCAATTTCTTTTTAAACTAGTCAGACTCTATCTGAGTGAGGTATCTTTTACTATTCAGGTCACAATTCATAAGATTTTTTTATTGAGGAGTGAAATGACATGTGTAATATTTAAATAAATCTACTGAATTGTAGTAAACATTATGTTTAACATACTCCGCACTTGCAGAGAAAAACACACTTATTTAATTTATTGTATATGTTTACTAACCAAATACTAGTAATCAGCTAAGGCAATACATGTAATAAAAAAAATTGTAGTAGAAACTTTTCATTTTGTCAGTTCTGAATGGCAATGACTTAAGCCCATAACCTTTACTTTAATAAGTTAAAGACATGTGCTTTAATTGGCATAAACTATAAAAGAGAAATCATTAATTTTACATATTTTTATTTTGAACACATGTATATATGCATTTCAACATGATAAACTAGTGAATGTATGCAATGTTATTTATCCAATTTGAAGTTCTGATAAATCTTCCATAACATCTTGTTCAGTGCGGTCAGTGTCAATGTCTTCATCAAAACAATCTGGAAGTGTATCTATTGGAGAAGGAATGGTATCTCCTGTTTTTTCTTTAGCCGCATTTGACGATTCCTTTTTAGGATCTGCTATTTTAGCTAGTTGATCTGTCTTTCTAAGTTGACAAGCCTCTTCATATGGGGGTCTAATTGGCTCTTGAGTTGGGGGATGGTATACATAATCCTTACCCTGTTCTAGATTCAGCGGATACGTTCTATCAGAATCAAATCCACTCAAATCTCCACAAGCAAGGAAGGGAACAATAACTCGGTTAGGCCCCTCAAGGTTGTTGTAATCTGTATCATACTTGTGATCGAGTAAGGGATTTGACATATTTGGAATATAGCCTTCTGGTGGTGAATAATTCTGACACACAACAAAAGCCTCAATACTAGAGTTCCTGCTACTGCGAGGTTTGAATATTGAAACAAGTGGGAAGAAAATGCGCAGCTGGGAATAGAGCAAAGTGACATCTTTTCCTCGAAATATTTTAGCAACAAATGTCCCACCAGTGCGGAGTACGTGCGTTGTTATGTTCAAAGCAGCAAGGAGAAGCTGAGCTTGAATGTATTCGTCAATATCATGAAGACCTGTTACATCAGGTGCCCCATCACAGACAACTAGATCCGCCTTTTCTCCCTCAAAGTGAGATATGATTTCTTGTGCCGTTGACTTCTTCGTTATGTCCCCCTGCAATTGGATAACACCAGGGATCGGGGCCATCGCTTGGAGATCAACAGCTACTATCTTGACATCTTCAGTTTTACAGTCTCCTCCTCTTAACTTCCTGGCTAACACTTGACTCCAACTACCTGGTGCTGCACACAAGTCTACAACCTTCTTCACTCCTTCAAACAAGTTAAAATCTTCGTTTATCTGTAAAAGTTTGAACGCACTTCTAGCCCTCCATCCTTCTTCTTTTGCCAGTCTGTAATATACATCACGTTTATCTTTACTTGACTTTCCCATGATATTTATTTAACGAAGAGAACTTGAATCCAATTAAACTGAAACTGAAAGCATTGTTTTTTTACAAATCAGTGTCGCCAAAAATATTTGTTAGTGAATAATTTAGGTCATTGAAATAAAACGCAGAAATGACCAAAAATGGTTTGTCTAATTACAGGAAACGAGACTCAAAAACCGTAACGTGAATGAAATCAGATCTACGAAAATACCTTTGCCATATGCATTTCATATATTATGTATTAACATATTTCAAGTATTAGAGAAAAAGCGACAAAATTACTGTGGTAAACTTTTAAAACATTTTCACATTTTTATTTAGCTGCAGTTCGTTAGGTAAAAAAAAAAAAAAAAAATTCGCGTTATAAACTTTCACGTTTTTTTACGCATAGCTTTGGCGTTAAAACGCAAGGAAAACAACCCGAATATCTCTATAAAGCGCAAATCAAATGATATTTATAATAATATTATGCACAACTCTTATTTTTTGTTTTTCTGTTATAAACGCCAATTTTGAATATTTTAAACCCCCCCCCCCCTTTATGTTTTTTTTAAATGAAATGAAAAAAAAAATTAACCAACGGAAAAGAACTTTAAAGCTGTAGATCGAGAGCGCAAATCATTAGTAACTATAATAAGCAAACCTCGAATTATTTCATGTTACATTATGTGTTCCCCTTGTCAGTTATCTTACTCCTCATTTCTAATTCAAATTAAATGACCAAAAGTCGAGCATTTACCTATTGATATCCTTAACTATGACCAGCTAGAGGCTTATCAAAAGATTACGTTTTGACATTAATTTTAACCTTAGTTTCTCTTCATAAAAAAATGAATAGTATGGATTTCCATAAACGACAGCCAGCTGCTATAGTTGCTCAGTGCTTATGAAAGATAATTGCATATATACATGTACATATCCTCTCCTTAAACATACTATTACATGTAGGTGCGTGGTTACAAGATGGTATAATTTATGTAATTTTTTTTCATGTATTATATTTTTTAATAGGTGTATCTGAATATATATCTATTGTATACTTTTTATATACAGTAGAGATGATATTTTTTTAAAACGTGTTAATTTCAGCGATTTTTAAAATTTTTATTTTAATGAGTATATTCAGATACACCTGGAGTAAAACATATAATACATAAAATCCTGTGACCAATTGCGACTATGCTTAAAAGAATTTATAGTAGCGTAGGAAAACCTATATTTTCAGATGAGTTCAAACTGATATATGAAAATCAAACAGGACTTAGAAAAGGATATGCAACAACACAATTAATAATCTCTTAAAATTCTCAAAACATATTTTATATTACCTCGTGAAAATCAAGAAGGAAAAAAATCGTATTACACCTAGATTCATTCATTCATTCTTTCTTTATTTCCTCCGAATCGGAGATTCCATATAACATGACAACATATATGAACAGAGAAACATATTTACAACATTGTAAGTGAAAATCAGTTAGATGAAAAACAACAAAAGATAGCTATAAATAATAATAGTAGATAAATAATTCGCGTGACATTGAAAGTTATGAGGAAGTAAGATTAGGGGGGAAAAAAACCACAAACACATATAGACCAGATTACATTGATTGCATTACTCTGTAGAAATGGGCTGCTGCGTCCCTAATGAATTTAAAGTTAAGTATGTGAAGATCAGGGTTGTCGAAAACGACGTTTCCAGTTGCGGAGATTCGAGATCCAAGGAGAAACAAGTAAAGATCTTGCTGGGAAAGTCCAGAGAGTTCGGCGCCAAGATTAATACTGAAGTCTTCGATGATTGTCTCCCACCAGGCATCTCTGTATGAAGATGTTCCAGAGCATGAAGTGGACAGATGTTCGAAAACATTCGTAAACGTTCTTTTACAAATAGGACAGCATTCTTCAGGTATATTCAAAAGGGTCCAGAGTTTAGCGATAAATTTACATAACTGAACTTCGTAGATATTTGAAGGGATAGACAAAATTTATTGTAGCCAGAGGGTTTTGGGCGATTTTCCAGAGCACACAATATTGAATTGCAAGAAATCAGAGTCATTATTCATCCGCTCCTGTCGAGATGATGAAACGTGAGCAAGAACAGAGGTTTTGACAGTTCTTTTCCATTCGGATTTTGAAGGGAAAGAGCCTTCACACAAGTACTTTTTAAGGAAGTGACAGAGGTTGTATTTGGACAGAATTGAGATTATATCCGGAATGAATCCATAACACACGATATTGTTGTTTTGTAGGAAGTCAAAAAGGCGATTCAGGAATAACTGTTTTGTGAGAAAACTGGGGTCTAGTTCGCAAAGACGGCCAAAGAATTGAAGTTTTTTTATGTCAATTTCTGCGGATATTGGGATAAGACCAAGAAGACTCTCACACATGTCGGATCTTGTTTGTTTAGGCAGAGACATGGTGTGTTTACAAGCGAAATGTTGAAACGTGCTGAGAAGTTTAATATCTTTTTGCCGGAGATCACACCAAAGTTCACTTCCATATAAGACGGCAGGGAGCACCACCTTCTTGTACAAGTTAGCAACAGAAATGGGATTTAAGTGTTCGCACGCCTTCAGAGCAAAATATGCTTGGCGTCCTTTCCTACAGGCATTGTGGGTTCTCTCGCTCGGATTCATCTTACAGTGTAGGAAGATCCCAAGATGGTTGTAGGTCTCCGATAGGTGAACAGGTTCTTCACCTAATCTCCAAGACAGAGAGGTACTAAGGCGGTTTCCGGCTCGGTTAAAGAGGAGAACACTTGACTTGCTGGCATTAAATTTGAATCGCCATCGCGTGGAATAACTGTACGCAGTGTCGAGCATATTCTGTAGTCCTACAGGGGAGAGAGCTATACAGGAAATGTCGTCAGCAAGAGTAGGGTTTGAACTGGCGATACTATATATCCCGGTGTTGTGACCTGTTCGTTGGAGTTCATTAAGTAGATCGTTGTTGAACACCAAGTACAAGAAAGTGGAGAGCACCCCTCCCTGTCGTACACCTTGGGTAACGGGAAACCATTCGGAGTTCGTTTGGTTTACGGCAACAGAGCAGGATGTGTCGGTGTGGCAGTCATCGATGAGAGACCATAAGTGGCCAGATATACCAAGCTGATGCAATTTAAACATTAGACCATGTCTCCAGACAGTGTCAAAGGCCTTCTGGGTGTCGAGAAAGGCAACAAAAACCGGACTTCCGTGTTCAATATTATGAAATATTGTCTCTTGTAGGTTGAAGGAAGCAGTAATACAACCTAACTTTTGTTGAAATCCTTGTTGTTGGAAATTAGGAAAGTGGATATTCGACAGATGAAATGTTTTTATTCTTGTTAACAGCAGTTTTTCAAATAATTTAAAAAGACAAGGCAGCAAGGCAATCGGCCTATAGCTGTCAGGAGATTTCCTTGGTTTATTGCTACCTTTGTAGATCGGAGTGATGAGATCGCGCTTCCATATTGTGGGCACCTTCCCTATCTTTACGATGGAGTTAAAAAGGTAAGCAATACATTTGGTTAGACCGATGCCTCCGTAAATAAGGTGTTCATTCTGAATGCGGTCGAGCCCTGGAGCCTTCCAGCGCTTTAGGGTCGTAATAATAGCAAGGATTTCCTCATGAGTTACTGCGTCTCCAGGCATCGACAGTCCCCTGTTGACGAGAATTGAACGTTTTATTTCCTCATATGAGCTTTCGATAGTGTTTTTGAAGGCTAAGTCGTAATGATCACAGTCATTGGAATTGTAAACATTTTCGAAATGTTGTGCAAAGCACATCGCAACTCCAGATGGGTCATCGTACGTTTCTCCATTCCGTTGAATTTCAGGGTAGATCTTACAGCTTTTGGGACGTCGACGATGGATTAGTTTCCAAAATAGGCGCACGTCACATTCAGAGGCTTCATCGATGTCATTGAAAACTTTAGTCATGTACCGATCGTGCTCTCTATTCAATTCATTTCGGAAGTTTCTTTTAGCGCGTTTGTAGTTTCTATAGGATTCATTGTGCATTCCGCGCGGAATCCAGTTTTGACGTTGGCGTTCCTGGGAATGGAGTACTTTCACGGTTGATGTCCACTCAGGTTTTAAATAAGGTTTGTATTTAGCAGTAGGTATGGACAGGGACGCAGAGTTATGCAGCACAGTATTTAAATCGTTACAAAATGAATGGACATTGTCAATACAATTAAGATCTCTTCCTAAAAACTGTACAGTTTGGTTTTCAACAGATGTTTCGTAATCTTTTAGTTTGCTACTCTCCGCTTTATGCCAAGCTGGGAGTGAGGCTAAAGATTCACATAATACATGACATTTTATATCAATATCAAGCTTCATCAATAATGGCAGATGATCCGATGTAAGACAAAAAGACCCTTCTTCAAACACATGGTATTGTTTTACATGTTTACATAGAACCTTACTACAAAATATATAGTCTAGAGAAGCTTGAGTCGGGATGAACGTATAATGAGATCCCGAACCAGAGAAGTCAATGCCAGGGCATCCAAAATCGTTTCGCTTTAAAAATTCTTTCAAAGACTTTGATTTATGTACATTTGATCGAACATTGTCAACATTTAGACAACTGGCATTGAAGTCTCCCCCTATAACAACATCACCTTGCAACGAAAAATGATTGATTAAAGAATCAAGGATGTTTAATTTCCATAAACGACAGCCAGCTGCTATAGTTGCTCAGTGCTTATAAAAGATAATTGCATATATACATGTACATATCCTCTCCTTAAACATACTATTACATGTAGGTGCGTGGTTACAAGATGGTATAATTTATGTAATTTTTTTTCATGTATTATATTTTTTAATAGGTGTATCTGAATATATATCTATTGTATACTTTTTATATACAGTAGAGATGATATTTTTTTAAAACGTGTTAATTTCAGCGATTTTTAAAATTTTTATTTTAATGAGTATATTCAGATACACCTGGAGTAAAACATATAATACATAAAATCCTGTGACCAATTGCGCCTATGCTTAAAAGAATTTATAGTAGCGTAGGAAAATCTATATTTTCAGATGAGTTCAAACTGATATATGAAAATCAAACAGGAC